GAAACTACTGTATTTACATTAAATTCTTTCTTTAAGTTCCAGCTTCGTCAATATTGTTTCTGCAAAATAAGAAAATATGAAAATAAATTAGACTTTTAAAACATGATTAATTAATTAACCCCTATAGTGCGACATTTTTCATCACCATATATATATATATTTTTTTTTTCGCTGTTTGATGACACCTCCCTATCATTTTAGTAATTTCTGGGATAGATTTACCTTTTGAGAGTTCTGAGGTGATAGTTTTCTTTTTAGCATTACTTAAACTGCTTTTATGGCCAATCTTTTTACAAATTCTTACACTTTTCTAATAATTTGGCACGCTCAAATCACCGTACTGATAACAAATATGGCGCCAGTTTGTTTACATTGCGCAGATCAGGCCGAAAAATCAGTGATTGCGCAGGTCAGTGTTGCCAACATCGTGTGAAAATTTTGTGTGAATTGATTGGACGGTTTTTGAAATATTATAAAAAAGTTATCTCAATAATAATTTGGCACGCAGTGTGTATGTATATATATATATATATATATATATATATATATATATATATATATATATATATATATATATATATATGTGTGTGTATATATATATATATATATATATATATATATATATAGATAGATAGATAGACAGATAAATAGATAATGTAAGAAGAATAAGAAACAAAATCAACGCTATTTACATTATTCGGACTATTGTCCTCATCTTTGTCGCCATATTTATTACAACGTTTTCGGCCATTGTACACTCCGGCCTTCTTCAGGTGGTTGGAATGTGGAACTAAACCCTTTATTTCGCTCACTGGGGGTAAACTGCTCTAGTTCCACTCGCCTAAAAGGCACACGACACAGTGGATAAAGGCGTTAGTTAGATCCAGTAACAGGAACCAAAGAGTTGTGAGTTCAATACCCGGTTAAGTCAGTGGAGAACTTGGAGAGGGGAATTAACAGGAGATAACTGACAAGTGACATCCATTAAACATGGCACGTGGAACTAGAAAAGTCTACCCCAGTGAGCGAAATAAAGGGTTCAGTTCGACATTCCAGCCACCTGAAGAAGACCGGAGTATACAACGGCTGAAACTTTGTAATAAATATGGCAACTAAGATGAGGAGAATAGTCCGAATAATGTAAATAGTGTACATAATGCCACATCTCAGAAATATAAACAAATTCAACGCTATTCGAAATTCACCCACACTATAGATTAATCTTACCATCAACCATTGTATTGTGGCACCATTTACGAGGCAGAGAAAGGAAAAGAAAGAAAAGAAGGCAGAAAGAAAGGCGAGACGAATGGTGGGTGATCAGCAGAACACACACACGGCTAAGAGACAATGAATATATTGATAAGTAACCATGGCGAAAGGGTGTCATTACAATGACAGGGAAATTCTGGGTAAGAAGAAAGGGAAAGAAAGAAAGGAACAGATGTGTTTTGATAACGGCTGTGTTATCTAGGAGTACGTAAACAAAACGGCTGCTCGACTGGCCAACGAAAAATTCAATTGAAAACGTTAATTTTGATAAATGACAAAACACAAGTGTAACTACAGGACTTTGGGTAGATATGAAAAATTAAAGACCACACAAGCCGTGTCCGCTGACCGAATTTTTTTCGACGAAACAACTTTGGCCTGCGATAATAAAATTATGTTATCAGAAATATGTACCGAAGGAAAATGAATGGGGACCCAGAAGTGTTTTTTCTTCTTCCTTGGAGGCAACAGACTGACGGAAATTTTAGAGATATTTCTTTTTTGAGGCCGTGTTAAGAAGACCACCCATTTTGATAATTAGCGATAAAATACCTGACAAAAACCACGTGTAGAACAAGAGTTGTCATATTGTCCGTTTGCGGCTGGAGAACTGATGGCGGCGATTAAAGCGGAAGAGAAGGGAAAGAGAAGAGATAATTTTTTTAGTTAAGCAAGATATTTTTTTCCCCGAAACAAAGTCGCGGATTGTTCACGCCCGACTAAGACATCATTGGTTAAGTGGTGATCACGTGACGCACGAAGGAGGAGGGAAGATACCCGACTAAGACCTCATTGGCCGAGTGGTGATCACGTGACGCACGAAGAAGGCTATCGACGCCTCATCCAGAGTATAAGTATGAGAAGCTGCTACGAAGAAGTGGGGAGGGCAGTTTACGCCCTCTGAAGTATGGTGAGGAAGTGTGAGTAAGAAAGGTTCCCAAAAATGGAAAAGAGTGGAAAATACCTAACCAGAAATAAAAGAGGTGGATATGTATTTAGAATTATCGAGGAACCCCCCCCGACGCCGACAGACCCACCCCGGTTTTGGTCGGCGTCAATAAAACCGAGGCCCCAACAGGCAGAAATCAGAGAGTTCGAGCTCGAGTTTCCAGAGTTGAGTTCCCAGAGTCAGTCTCCAGTTGAAACCGCCTCGCAGATAGCTGACCAAGATTCACGCAAAATTCCGGACTCCTCTTCAACCCAAGAACAATTATTTTGAAGAGCGACTCAGAACCAAACCACTGAAATAAGTTTTTTTTCGACTTTTGTCCAAAGACACACCGAAACGCCAATTCTTAGAGAGCAAACAACTTGAAGCGTTAAAAACTTGTCTAACGGAAAACGACGTGTCACAATCCACAGAACGGGTCAGGAGATAGATGCAATCCTATGTATCGAACAACTAGACATAAAGTTTGTTACCTGTTTCTTTGATACTTTGAACTTTTTGAGTTTTCATTTTATTTTCTTTTATGCATATTTGTGTAGTATCACCCCCGTTGAACTCAGTTTGCATTACGGCCCCAACCACTGTTTGATCTCGTCTGCCTAAGATCAATTCACAACGTGGGTAGGCGGACTGGAGATCAATGCAGTTACCTTGGTAACCAGGCGTTGGAAGCGAATTGGGAACGACGAGGCTGATATCAAATCTAACTACATTCCTACCCGAATCACCAAAAGGTTAGAACGTCACACTTGGGTGCCGCGACCGATACCAAGCCAGTTGGTCGTCACAGGACGAGACAACACGACTGACGCGACAGGCGGACGTCACGTTTGGAGCAGCGACACCCGAACGGAGCAGCGAGGAGCGAACAGCTGGCGCCGCGGCGAGGACGTCACAATTGGTGCTGTTTGGGGACGTCACAACTGGCGCCGTGATAGATCAGGATAGAACGTCACAGTCGGCGCTGCGACCGGGGGACGACGTCACAGTATGTCGATCTATCTATTTAATTTATATATATATATATATATATATATATATATATATATATATATATATTGGTTGGATAGATGTGAGTTTGTGACCCTAGGTTTCACGCTTTAGCGATCGTCAGACAAACTGATTAATTTTTTAAAAAAATTTGGGTTTATGTAGATTGCGTGTATTGGTGTTATTGTGGAAGTGGTGGGGGAAACTTTGTCGCTTATGTCAGCGTACTAACGCAAACATCGATGTATGCAGACACATATACATACTTGGTCATCTGTCGGGACTCATACATATATAAACATATGTGGGCAGTTTCGGATATGACACATGTATGTATACGGGTGGTATTGTGTCTATACATACGCATTTGTATGTTGAAATTTAAAGATTGGAAGTGTGGCGGAAATGTCTCGTGAATGTCTCGTGAATCTATACATGCCATATTATTTTTTTTTAATAAGTACCGCGCATATAATATATAAATAATTATACATATATATATTTATTTATATATACAAATTCATGAATTATTCATACAAAAACAAATGCAAAGGTTAATGATTTAATTGGCGAGAAATCCATCGTCGCAAACAATTCAAATAATATACAAAAACCCCCGAACCTGTTATGAATGAAAAGATCCTTGTTTCTATAAATTTCTGCTGCATTAGTTCTTATTTTTACTACAAGCTTTCGTCTGTTCCTACAGACATCTTCAGGTATGGAATAGATGTTGTTCTTGTTTTTTTCTCTCAGTAATAAGAAGACAACGAAAATATATGTATTGTTGTATCCGAAAAATGCTATTGGAAATGAGTTATTGTTTTTGGAGCGTGCAGTTATTTATATTTATATACACTTTTCACACACACACACACACACACATATATATATATATATATATATAGTGTACTCTCCTATAGTGAACGATAAATGAAGGTCAGCATTGGATGTTGCCTTTTGTTTTACATTTATGCACGTTAGCAGGGGGAAAATCAGGTAAGACATATTTCATTTGTGCTTTCTTCAGTGTGATACTAGCTCAGCCTTGCTGCAGGCGACAAAATCACACTGACAGATGAAATTTTTAAAGCGGGATTTTAATGGCGTCTCTGCTTCAGAGCTTAACGAAGCAGGTCACGGTGCCTCTGTCTTCTATCTTCAAAACTCTTTCACTTAATGAAACATGCCTTACGCCACCCTTCTTCGGTTTGATACTTGGGCTTCCCAGGTTTTTCAGATCAAAGTTGAGACGTTTCAAGTTGCCTTTCTATTTATCTTTGTAGCGTAAGGGTGAACGTCTAACTGAACGTTTGGTAGATGTCCGTACAGCACCTTCTTTGGAAGCCTATGCTCATTTATTCTGACAACAAGACCAGCCCACTTACGTTGTATCTCTGCCAGAATGGTTACAAAGCTCTACATGTTATTTTTACTTTCATTTTAATCTTTCGCACGTGTATTGAACACTTTTTAATACTACTATTTCCCGGCTTGATTCAACTCTGACTATTAACCTTTATATATATTTATATATATATATATATATATATATATATATATATATATATAAATTAATGCTATGAACGTTTAAAGTTATATTCTTCTCATATTCATTACATTTTATATATATATATATATATATATATATATATATATATATATATATGAAGAAATATACATAAGGTGTGCTATATTTATGGGATAAAATGCTCAATATAAGAGATAGAGCGTGTGTAAATATGAAAGTGAACATTGAAGTCAACGCTTAGAGGCGACAGGCTGTTTCATGCCAGACGCAATCTATCTATCTATCTATCTATCTATCTATCTATCTATCTATCTCTCTATATATATATATACATATAACGACAATCATTTGAAGATTTTGGAATCGGTCTGCATAGGATTAAGGAAACCTTCTCTCTGCCGGCAGAAAGAATTTGTAAAGTCTCTTAATCTGTTGGGGATATTTTATTTTAACTGTCCCTCGCTAATTTATTTACACGATTATTTCCCTCCCCTCGTTATAAATATATCCACTTGTTTGTTATTTTAGTGTGTTTCCCCCTCTTTTGCTCTTCATTGTCGTTAATATTCTTTTCGTTGATCCAACGATTGTCTCCTGATGAGATGTTGGTTGAAAGGGCCTTAGAGACTTTTAAAATTAAAATCAATACATTCCTTGTTTTTAAAACTATATATATATATATACATACATATATATATATATATATATATATATAGATAGATAGATAGATAGATAAATAGATACATAGATAAATATACCTTTATGTGCGTATGTGTGTGAGAGATGGACACACACACACACACACACACATATATATATATATATATATATATATATATACGAAACTGTAATATAATAGCGGAATACCTGAATGAATAGACTAGTACAAGCAAACTGGGAGAGACAGATCGATAGTCGAATAGATAATTTGACTGTCCATTGTAAAGACCTATAATTTTCATGAACAACGCCTCCTTTCTTACTAATTCCACATTTTGCCGTAAGTCTGTCTGCAATGTGCTTTACAAGTACAATTTGATCATGTTGAGTCTGTAGGGTGACGTCAGCATTTTCACTCATTCTAATCGATTTCTAATATCGATTATTGATCTATACAACTACTAGATCAGAAAACGAAGTTAAAACAGTTTCTTTGATATAGAATTCAGTTTTTTTATGGTCACGACTTCTTGTAAACTGAACATGTAAATTGAATTCATATATTCTTTTAACTCGTCACTGGGGGCAAGTTGAAACCTCGTTTGACCGATAAATGTTTTGTTTACTATATGGAGACGAAAGAATACATCCACGTTATAGAATTGCTTACGACTAAAGGTACAAAATTAAAATTTGTAATTTATGGAAGAGTGTAGTAATTAATTAATTAAAAAGAATGTTTCTCTCAATATATAGTTTTGTTTTTCTCTTATCCTTTTATATTTTGATATCATTTTTTATTCATTCAAATTTTAATTGTTTTTAAATGAAATCTATACTAGATGCCCAAACAGATATTTTTTTAAAAAAGCCATAAACCTTTCAGCGTCCTCTCTCCTTCGAGTCAATGTGTAGTTACATCAGTTTAAACATCACTTTCATCCGATGACGTCCTATGGAATATAACGCGTCGCACGATAATTTTTATTATATATTTCTATTCTAATGATACTTTTTAACAATCCAATAAAACCAAGAGTGATGGAAGAAAAATATTTTATGCATAGTAATTGAAACCTTAAAATATGCCATTTAAGAAACAATGATGGAATTTTCAATTTTTAAAAATTACGTCCTGTAGATGGCGTCCTCCTGTACGAATGCATTCAGAAAATCTGCTGTTGAGATTCCTCATTGACTGCTGCAACATCTCAGCTGGGATACTCTGAATTTCATCTTGAATTCTAAATGGCGAAATGTTTACTTGCTCAAGGTCACTGTCTCGCAGTGTTGCCACTTGCTCATGTCTGGCAATACGCACTTCAAAAATTCCCGTTTTTTTGTCACCCTATATATATATATATATATATATATATATATATATACTTAATAAACAATAAAATTCAAAATCACCTTATATGGGGAGATGCATATTTCGGTGGAAGAAGATATCGGTCGTCTGTCTTATCGACCCCGGTGGAGACAGAGTTCGTTTCAGAAAGAGAAAAAAGTCTTAATTATTTGGTCTGTAATAATAAATATATTGAGCTCTTTTTGTAGATCAGTTTTAATATTCTATATTACTAGTATCCACTTGGAATATATACCAACATTTGTTTCCTTATATATATATATATATATATATATATATATATATATATATATATATATATATATAATTATTTATTTAAAAATATGATTCCAACTCGCGACATAAGAGGTCTCATGTTTCAAAACAAGAGCCGAAAACTTCAATATAATTATTTGAATTAAATTGAGTTAAAGTAAAAATAATTAGCTAAAAAGTTAAAGTTAAAATAATTAGCTAAAAACAAGCATACAATATAATAATTTTTATAATCCAGAGCCCAAATAAATTGTTTAAATACCCTACAAAAAAGATAACCCTTTATGAAGTCGTCAAAAAACAAACGTTACGACAGTTTTTTTATATGCACAAATCACTTTCATAAAAAAATAAAATAATAAAATAAATAAATCTCCATAGACACGCATACCAGACTAGGGTTAATACATCTTCCGTTTAAAATTTAGACACCCCCACCTTTCCCTGACATGACATCTATGAAAGTAACTC